TTGCTGTTGTTACCGCAGTTGCTGTTGTATGCATTCGGCATTTGCGCGTAAATTTATCCATCACTGCCAAAATCATTACTGTATTAAATAGAATATGCAATCAAGTTCACTTTGTGTGGTCTGTCTGTTATTGCTTTAGAGCACAACTCGAATACTGACTAACTGCACTTGTTTGTTTTTTGCTTCCTTCGTCCAGATATAAGAATCTGAATTTTTTGCCATTTTTCTAGTTTTTTAAGTTGATTATGAAAAAGAGTGGCATATTTGTGTTGTTGTTTCAAATATTTTTTTGCTGGGTTTGCACGGCGGTATTCTCCACTTATTTACTGCATTTGAGAATTGTTTGTTGATTGATTGTTGTTCTTCATTTTCTGCGTCTTCTCCGTCTTCATTATCGGAGTTGCAGAAGCCGTGTGCTTACTCGTACAGGGTGTTGTAAAGGAGCAGCAATCAAACTGCGAGAAAGCGTCAGCTGAGCGTTAATTTGATTTAAGCTTAAGCAGCAGCAGCAGCAGAGATACGTTCATCTCCCATTTGGTTTTGCATTTATGCTAACACGTATAGGCTATTAGTGAATTATATTTTTATTTCTTTTTACTTTTTAATTCGTCTTATATCATATGGCTTTTAAATTACCTGTCTTTTTCCACCTTTCTCCACCTTGGATTACAAGACTAAGTCTTGGATTACAAGACTAAGTAGTGAAAAGTTATCGAAATCTGGCGTTTGAATATGTTTCAATTTCTGTATTATTTATCTTTTTCTAAAAGCTTCTTCAGAAAGTTTAAAATCTGGTGGACATGAGAGTGCTTATTTCTGTTAAATTGCATAAATATTCTCACATGATTACGAGCTTCGTTTTTTCTTTACTCAAACAGTGCGCCATCAGTGACTTGAAATTCCTGAGATTGTGGAAGAATTGCTGTGAATTTGTACAAATTTGCTTTTGTTCTGTTGAGGCTGCTTCTGTAATGAATTTTCATGTCAAATTTGTTTCTTATGTGCTGTCGTGTTTATCTAGTTTCTAGTCGCTTATTTGACATTTCCAAAATTACTAGTGATTTTTATTATATTACATTGTTTTAAAGCGGTGACTTATGGAAAGATTTTTAGAGTACCCTTCGAGCATCGTCTTGGGCGAATAGTGGGCACCAAACTTCTAGGAACTCTTCTGTACCTAATTTCACGCATCGAAACGTCGCTCCTCCTTCGCAGTCCACAAATCACAGCAGGATTTTTGGCCGAAATACTTCCCTCGGGTGAATTTTCTTTGTTGGAAAAGTTTTTTTTGAAGGTTCCTACTTTCCATCCTTGGTTCCTCTCCTGAATGCTTTGAAAACTCTTACCAAGTGATTATTTTGCATTTTACTCTTATTTTTATGAAGTCTTTTGTAATATATTTGATGAAACATTTTGAAAAAGGTTCGATCTGCATTTGTTTAGATTTCGAGGAAAAACAGTTTGTCATAGGGGTTGAAGGTTTTGTTGAGCAGTTTAAGTTCATTTTTCCTTTAGTGTAATTTTTGATTATTCTTTTTTTTAAAGGATTATAGCATCGTTAATTCAGTTTCTTTTACATTTTTAGGGCTGCCAACATGTCTCCAGGCGTGTTAGGCCAAACTGCATCACCCCAGCAACAAAACCTTCATAGCAGTGCTTACTCGTACACGGGACAAAGTCATCCACGTCCACAGAATATTTATGGGACCTATGTAAGTTCATTCTTTCGGTTTATAACCAGACTTCTTTTTTCATTGTTTACAAAAATACCTTTTCTTTG